GATAACGATGAGGATATCTCTTCTGAATTGTCAATAGCTAAGGACAATTACAGACAATCGCATTTGCCCTCACAGTGCCTGATATATAGCGGTAGAACAATAAATGTTTATTAATGAGAGACTGAGGGAGCAGAGTAAGCACACAAATTAATTTTAAGTCTACAGAAAGTCTAAAGAAACTATCAATAAAAAACCTGCTGGGAAGCTGGCATTTGGCCATCACTGTGTCACTGGAGAGGGGCATCATTCTTGGTAAAGCGGAGGGCCAGTGAAAAAGAGGGAGGCCCCAGTGAGATGGGATGACACAGGGGCTGCAACAATAGGCTCAAGCAATAGGAACAACGTGGGCGTGGCGCAGCACTGGGCAGGGTTTTGTTCTGTTGGGCTTAGGGTTGCTATAGGTCGAAACCGACAACAACAGCATCATGTCACCGGATGACTTGCCTTTACTTTCATGTTTCAAGCAGACTTTTGGTGCCATGTAGACAGGGTCCCCATGTGCCTTTCAGGAAAATGGGAACGGCAAAGTGGTGGACCGCAGGCCAATGGCAAGTAATGTTTAGGGTGAGGCCTCTAGAAACGTGCTGGCTTTATAGACCGCCCAAAGACAGACAACAGTTTGCAGTTGTGTAATGAGCCCTTTGATGGAAGGCCCTTACAAGGCCCTACATGTGGCTCTTGATACTTAATGAAACTTTGGAGCTTGCTTAGTTGACTCCCTGTGTCTCTAACTGAATCCTTCCAATGTCCTTCGAGGGAAACAGATTCGAAGGGAGAATACTCTCAGAGGAAAAGAGAATTGCCAGCTAGACAACCAGGAGAGCAACAGAGGCCTTGTGCCTGGACTGATCAAGAAGAGAGACAAAAACTCCAGGGAACAAGACGTAACCCAGCCATCACGCCCGGCCGTAGAGTCGAGGAGGATGCACAGCCACCTAGAGGACAAGTAGAAAGACCTGTTCTCCTTTGCAGAGCGGTCGGTGGCTTCAAACTGCTGATCTTGTGGTTCGCAGTCACGGCAGAGCACTACGGCACCAGGGAGCCTTAACCCAGAATATATATATATATATATTTGAAAATTTTCAAACAGTGGCTCAATTATGTCTCTGGATTTTAGAATGGAGTCACATTTAGAGAAAGGGAATGCTCTCTACCTTTGGTATCAAATGAAGAAGGAACAAAGTATGAAAGGTAGAGTTATAGTCCCATGCAGAACAAAATGCACTACCTTCCAAGCCTCAAATGTCAGGAAACAAAAATGTGAATGTGTAAGGACGAGGAAAGAAGAGGGAAAATCACTGAGGTCTCAAAAAAGATACTCGGATGTTACCACTAAGTATCCCCAACACTGGGGAAAGTGGGCATCCAGCATTACACCGTCTGATTGTAGGAAAGGCACAGAGGAGAATCCCAGGGGACCATTCCCACACCAGATGGGGGACAATGTCCTTTCTCAGAATGCTGGAGCGAATCTCTTCAACTCAAGCTATTGTTTACAGAAACATTACCACACAGTTATAATTATGGGTTTGGTTTAGTACTAAAGAGGGTCTGAGTTTGCCATCAAAGGAGGAGGAAGCAAGCCACTGAGAAGTGCGGATTGAATCTTTCAGACTTAGAGCTCAGTGGAATTCTAGGGCTCTGTATGGATTCAGGCCAAGGCATGAGTAGCTTCATCATGAAGAGCTGTTAGCTCATGGTGGACAAGGGGGCCCACTCTGCCCTGCCTTCTCCTTTTCTGGGGAAGCACTGGGGGTGAACTCGAAACTGAACCCACTGTAATTGAGTCCATTCTGATTCATATTGACCCAATGATAGGACAGACTAGCGCCGCCCCACAGGGTTCCTAAACCTATAATCTTTATGGAAGTCAATGGACACATGTGGCTTCAGCAGAGTGGCTAGTGATGGGTTCAAACCACCAACCTTTTGGTTAGCTGTTGAGTACTTAACCACTACACTACCAGGGCCCTTTACGGAGGGTGAACCCAAACCAAACTTACTTCCATTGAGGTGATTCTGACTCATCAAGCCCCTACAGGGCAGGGTAGAACTGCCTCTGTGGCTTTCTGAGGCTGACTACAGGAACAAACACCATCCTGTTTTCTCCCACGGAACAGCCGGGTGGTTTCAACCCATTGCCCTTGCAGTTCACAGCCCAATGGATAACCACAACTCCACATCCTCTGCTTCCACTGGGATCTCACACTGATGCTGACATCTTCCTCCTCCAGAGAAATGAGCATTTTCCTAGTGACACTCATTTCTCCTTGTTGCTTGTCATCGATTCACCTCTGTCTTGTGGCAACCCCATGTACAAACGCATGAAATGCTGTCCAGTCGTGTGCCAGCCTCCTGATCACCAGCGTGGTTGGTCCTACTGTTGTCTTCCACCCACGGGAGTTCGTCTTCCAGTGCCCCCTCTGACAAGATTCTGTTGTGACCCTTAGGGTTTCCTGTGAGTTCCCAGTTGGGCTGCTGAGTACAAGGTCAGCACTTTGTATCCACCAGCTCCACACCCCCCACCTGCCCCCAAGGAAGAGAGATGAGATGATCTGTTCCCGTAAGGATTTACAATCTAGGAAACCCATTATAAATTTGCGATGGGTTGGAATTAAATTGATGGCAGTGAAATTGGCTTGGTTTGGTTTGAATTGTCAGAAATAGATCACCAGGCCCTTCTTCCTAGTCTGTCTTGGGCTGGAAGCTCTGCTGAAACTTATCCACCAAGGGTGACCCAGCTGGTATTTGAAATACTGGTGGCATCACTTCCAGCACCATCTCACTGCTCTTGAGTCCATGCTGATTCATAGAGACCCCTTTTGGGGAACTGCTTATGGGAGTAGAAAGCCCAGTCTTTCTCCCACATTGCTGCTGCTGGTTTTGAACTGCCAACCATGTAGATCATAGCCCAGCACTTAACTACTACCCCACCAGGGCTCCATTCCAGCATCGTAGCCACAAAAGCCACAAAATTTGATGAAATCCAGTCTGGGTAGTGGCACATATCTCCTGCAAAAGGTGAAACCAGAAGTTTCCAGACACATAGGAATGGGACGGTGGGGGAAGGAAGGTGTTGTTAGACAAAGTGCCTCTCCCCTATTCCATTTAAACTTAACTCTAACCCTGTCCAAGAAATTAAAACTCGGTGAGAAATGTTTAAGTAATCAGATAAGCCATGACTAGCCTACAGAAAGCAAACACAAAAACATAACTAGCCAATCAAAATCACTTCCTGCTGATTAAGTGAAGGGCAAGCCATCATTTAAAATTTCCCTTTTGGGGGTTCCCCCAGCAGCTTATATCGTGGAGGAGGTGATCAGACTTGTAATAAGAGCTTATGTTTTCAACAGCTTGCTCCCTGTTCTCCAAAAGATTTCTACTGCTCAATATAACTTTTTAACCCTAATGACTTATTGATCAGTGTGTTAGTTCAGGTAGACTAGAGAAACAAATCCATAGACATTCATATGCGTATATGAAAGAGCTTTATATAGGCGAGCAATTGAACATTGAGAAAACATCCCAGCCCAGTCCAGATCAAGTCCATAGTCTGATATTAGCCCATATGTCTGATACCAATCTATAAAGTCCTCTTCAGACTCACAAAACACATGCAATGACGCCGAATGTAGGAAGATGACAGGCCAGTGGGTGGGAAGTCTTGTGTTTCCTGTGGTGTTGTAAGCACCTTAGCGCTGGCAGGGGTCTCCACATTGCTCCTCCAGCTCTCAGGACTCTGGCTGCATCAGGGTAACTTCATATGGCTTCTCGTCAGAAATGTCTCGCAGGGAGTGGATCTGGCTCCTGCCTCCAGGGAGCTATTTATATCAGTGTCTCTAAATGAGGTCATCAAGCTGCGACCTGACTGACAGGCTAACCTTGACCCCTTCACTCTTAGTACTCAAATTGACAACAGATTATGTAACTACCACAATCAGATTTTTTTCTTTTTCTTTTGGGCTCTTTCTGGTAAAAGAGTGGGCACCTCACAAGGTCTGTCTGCTCCAATATTG